TTAGCAAATAGGTGACGGCAACGCGACGACGACGGCCAAAATAAACTCGTTCGAATAAGTAACTTTAAGATCAACATGTCTTGTATTATCCGTTGTATGAATTTATTGCAATTTAAGAAGGTTAAGACAGAGGTTTATAGTTGAGAAGACTTCTACTAAGTCAATTTGGCGAGGACGACTTCTCGCGGCTTGAAAGGCAGACGTTGTGTACAAAACGTGAAAATCTTTGGTTTGCTGTTGTAAACAGAGCAAGGACGACGACTAAAACTCCCATGGGACCTTCAATGATGCATTTTCTTTCTACGCTGTCATAAATTTCATTGTATTAATAGCCGTCGCCGTCCTGCTAGCTAAAGGTCCCTAATTATCGAGCTTGCTACGGCACCGTAGCCAAGGCAAGGGTGTATTTTTTAACATTGAATGATTCCAGCTATATACTGCAGTATATAGTGTATATATACTGTATATGTATCATGTATATACTGCAGTATATGCATGAATTTTGATCTAGGCAAGAAGAACGAAATCCCATCACCACAGCTACAGTAGATAGAGCATCTTAAAATTAGTAAAATTGCAAAGTTTGGTTGCGAAATGTTGTAAAATGAGTAAGATATACCCCTGCGAAATTTGCATTAATTTGTATTACGCAAGGGAAAATGCACCACATTTAGGGCGAAAGTGGTACATTTTCCCATGCGTAGAACATTTTGCAACCAAACTTTGTAATTTTACTAATTTTAAGATGCTTATTCTAGCTGTACCTGTGATCAAAATTTAGTCTATAGCTGCAATCATGCATTAAAAGAGAGTTTCTAACATGGTTATCTAGAACACTGATTAGGATCATGCAAACACATATGTCGAAGCAAAGGCAACACCTTTTAGATAATAGAAACATTTTAAAGAAAATTTAATATGTGTGCTGTGTGTTTTTCATTAAGTCTAGCACTTCATAGAATAGTAGAAATGGTCAGCTGGTCCTGGGGACACTCCGCAAAGTCTTCTATTACGATATAAATGAGGATGCTCCCAAACAGGGATCTGATATTATATTATACTTAGTTATATTATAATTAGCGTCTGCGAGCAAAGTCAACTTCAGAATGTGCCTGCATCGAACCTGCATCGTATTTTAGGTTTAGAGAAGGATTGAATATATGAGATTTCAAAATGTGCTTGCACAAATTAAAAGGTGCGTGGGAGCAGAGACGCCTGAAGGAACCCAGGGGGCAGAATCTCTAAAAGAACACTTTCACCTGTACTTGCCAAACGAGCCTAATGAAATTTAAAAAATCAGTAGAACAAGTCTCCTATGTTTATAAAAGACCTCGGTCCGATATTTCTCTGTACAGACCTTGCGTTCGGTTAATAAGAAGTTAGTAATATTCCCTTCTAATAAATCTGTCGCATGGCAGTTACGACAAGGTGAGTTGTGTGCTTGATTTACAAGCAGGATGCAGTGACACTCGGAAATGGCCCAGAAAGATATTAATCGCTGAACCAGTGGCAGTGAAGAAGTTTACCTTTGGTGCCGAAGTTATGAAGCTTCACAAGTAAGAAATCATGGCTGACTTAGTCAAAAATTTTAATGATTTCTTCAATGTGATATGCAGAACATCTCAAGCCACTTGATCGTGCTTCCAGTATCACGTGTTTTGTGGGCGGTGGCCAACCTATAATAATAATAGGACAATCAAGGGCCAACGCTTGGGACAATCAAGGGCCAACGTTTTCAAATAGGAAGCTAGAGTACATTAGCGCATAGTTATTAACTATGATTAGAGTAGAGCGAAATCTAACCTGCGTAGCAGAAAAATGCAATCAATGATCCTGATCTGATACTAATATCGTTGCAAAATCTTGATATTTGACATATTTAAATACCTCTGATCTCACTCGATTGAATAATAGTTGAAGGGTATTGTAGATGGAAATCATTGAGTGTGGAAATTTATATACATTTCAAAAGAATAAATAAAGTTCCACACTCGATAATTTCCATAATCCATCTACAATACACTTCAACCACAATAGAGGTAATACTGGGTTAATAATAGTACATGTGGTAACAGGTGTGAGCGGGTGGTATACAGTCTGTATTCTGACCTCGAAACTAAAACTGGATAACGCATTTACTTTGCTTAAACATGAAGAAATAAAATGAAAGAAAGGACATTTGTTTGATGGTAAAAAGACTTGTAGATAAATATTCTAATAATTCTATTCTGGCTGCAAAATGACTCATTAATATTCAATAAAACTCTATTCAGTTGTAGTTTTGAGATCAGTGAGTCTAAATGCCACGCCACTGATCTCGATGAGCCACGCACGCTCAGTCGCTCACAAACAAATGGCGGTTTTTTGAGAGAAGTCCGTTGTTAAATTTCTTCAAATTTACCTCTGATTTTCTGCTCAAAGGGCGTCCAAATTCCAGCTATAAATTACAAATCGTTTTCATTAAACAACGATCGTTCATCTGAGTGTTAATTTGAGTGAAAACGTCCTTTTTTACAAAGAAAATTGAAGTGAAATATGAGTGCAGATTCAAGAAATCCACCGCAAACAGGCGGCGAATATACTGGCTTCACAGGCACGGCTGAAGAGCAGGCAAGTGCAGGGGTAAATATAGTAGTAGACAATTGTGAGGTTACTACAGAAACTGTGTATTTAACTGAAGGAAATGGCGCTCATGCAATGCAAGAGATTCATTATCAGCAGATAACAAGTGAACCTTTGGCCAATAAAGAAATAGCTATAGAAACTTCTCTGATAACTGAGGGTAGCAGTCAGCCAGTAAATGATCCCCAGTTGATGGACCAAGTTAAGCAGATTGAAGCTGACCCAACCATTGTACATCTGGGCTTGACAGACATTGTTAATGCAGTACAAGAGGTGTTGGCAGGGGATCACAGTCTTCACAGACTACAAGGAGATAGTCATCCCGTCGATCAACATGGTGTTGTAACAACAGTCAGTCAAGTCGAG